ATTTACTACTTTACACATTTTTCTATTGTTACATAAATCTATTTATAAACCTAATTATCATTAGTTAGCACTGTAATCTCACAGCAAGAAGGTCGCTGGTTCGATTCCCGGCAGGCTCAGTTGGCATTTCTTTGTGGAGTTTGCATGTTCTCCCTGTGTTGGCGTGGGTTTCCTCCGAGTGCTCTGGTTTCCCCCACAGTCCAAACACATGCACTATAGGTGAATTGAATAAGCTAAACTGGCCGTAGTGTATGAGAGTGAATGTGTGTGTATGGATGTTTTTCCAGTACTGGGTTACATCTGGAAGGGCATCCACTGTGTAAAACATATGCTGGATAAGTTGGCGGTTCATTCCCCTGTGGGGACCACTGATGAATAAAGGGACTAAGACGAAGGAAAATGCAGCTTCGGTCTTCAATATAAGCGCATCCTAAACAGGCCATTGATTTTTTTTAGCATCCAGCAGAGGGGGGAACCGAGCTTGGAGAAAAGTCTTTTACTTGAGCTGGTAAATTCTAGAAGTTCTTTATTTTTTCTTTTCTCTATATTTTTGTAAAGAAGAGGCATTGTTTTGCAGGAACAGCTTGCGTGAGCATCAGTAAGTGTTGAGCTGTGCATCTCTGGCCGGGTGATGGTGCAGTTTCAGATGAAGTCCACATCTGCTCACATCAACACACACAACAACAAACAAGTTTCCTGATGACTCCAGACTTTACGCTTTTTTTGCTGTCTGCATATATATATTTTTCGCCTTTTCATTTTGCAGGTAGCTGCATATTTTGCCAGGGCGGGTCTCAGGTGTGGATACAAAAAAGGGTGGGGGTGAGGGAAAAAGTGAAGGAGAGAAGAAAAAAGAAATCCCATTTATTTCCATCCTCCAAGGGTTTGTTTAAAATGCTGACTCGCTGGGTTGACGGAACGCACTGTATGGGTGTATCATTATATGGTCAGCTTTAGAGATGCATCTGAGATGGGCTCTCTAAGAATAGGTGCATGTGCGAATATCAGCCCTCATATTTTATATGAGGTAGAGAGAAACATGCAAACACATAGGAATGGCTATATACAAAAAAGGGAATGTTTTTAATGATTAAGCAGATGTAAGGTGAGGATATTTAAATGATTTGCAAAATAAAACCGGGAAAAATGTAATTAATTAAATAAAATGAAAATATATCAATATAATGAAATGAAATAAATAAGTGTAAATAAGTAAATATGTGTTGTTTGGGAATCTTCTGCTAAAATAAAATAAAATAAAATATTGTTTAGTGTGTAGAAATATGTGTTGTGTAAGAATCTTCTCCTAAAAAATGAATTAAATTAAATTAAATTATGTTTAATTAGTTTAGTTTGAAAAAATGCATTAAATGTTGATTTAAGAGCAGGTATTTTAAAAATGTTGTGAGGTATCTTCTCTTAAAAAAATAATAAAATAAAATAAAATAAAATAAAATAAAAAAAATAAAATAAAATAAAATAAAATGTTTGGTGTGCAATAATGTGTTGCGTGAGAATCTTCTCCTAAAAAAGTAATTGAATTAAATATAATAAATAATAATAAAATAATAAAATAAAATAAAAATAAAAAAGTTTAGTGTGTGGAAATATGTGTTGTGTGAAAATCTTCTCCTAAAAAAAAAAAAATAATAAAATAAAATAAATAATGTTTAGTGAAAGATGCAGAAATATGTGTTGAAATATATTTAATGTTCATTTTAGAGCAGGTATTTAAAAGTGCTGTGAGGTATTGTCTCCTAAAAACAAAACAAAACTAAATAAAATATATCAATATATATAAATATAATGAAATGAAACAAACACATGTACATAAGTAAATATGTATTATTTGGGAATCTTCTGCTAAAATAAATAAAATAAAATAAAACTAAATTAAATTAAATAAAATAAAAAGACTAGTGTGCAGAAATATGTGTTGTGTGGGAATCTTCTCAGTAAACCAAAAAAAGTAAAATAAATAAAATATTGAAATGAAATGACATTTAAATGAAATGAAATTTAGTGTAATGAATAAATAAAATAAATAAAAAAATATGCAGAAACAAAAAAAAAAAAAACACAACAAACAAAATATGAAATATAAAACTAAATTATCCAGAAGGTTAATCAAGTATTTTGTATAAGGGAAATCAGATCTTAGCCCATTCCCGATTCTTTCTTCTGCATAAGCCTAAAAGGTCCGCCCTCCACATTTGTGCAGCAGCGCTGATAAACGGTGGGACGTCCACAAAAGTGAAACCTCAGCATTGCAGTGAAGCTAAAATTTGCCTGTTCCTTAAAGACATCAATCTTATCGAAGGGCTCTTATGTAAAACACAGAATCTCTCGCCCAGATAACAGGAAACGATGCACCTGTGAGTCTGAACACACCTGGAGCTCTGCTTTCACAATCTGTTCAGCCAAAGAAACCTGATCCTGCGCTGAACCACTGGTCAACAGCAGGAGAAGAAGATGTAAAACGTTTACCAGCGCAAACATGAGCGTTCACACACTTTTATCACATTAAGAGGGATTCTTCTGGTGTTTTGAGTTCTTTAAATCTTGAAAACAGAAACGTCCTCAAACTGTTTCTTTTACAATAAAGATCAAAATTAGGCAATTTGTAAACCCTTTTTTGTCAGAAATAATGTCACTTTAAAAAATGATAAGGCAAATGACACCTATTATCTTACATCCATATATGTTATGTATTTACAACATGCATTTATTCTAACTTTATTTTAAAATAACTTTATAAAGCATATTATTTAAAATACCTTGAAATGAAAATAAATAAATAATAAAATAAATTAATGAATTAACAAATGTAATTTGTTATGAACATTTGTAATGAAACAAATTAGAGAAACATCTGATTTTCATTGAGCAGGTGTAATATTCATCAATATTAATTAATCAAATTCTTATATTCACTGTGGTGCTGCTGTTTGGGGTGGAATGACAGTTACATCATCATTATCCTGCAGGCTGCATTTTGTTCATGGGGCTTTGAGAAAATAAAAAAAAGAGCGGAGCTGCGGCAAAATAATAAATAAAAAGAGTGAAGCTATGGTCAAATAAATAAATGAAAAAAGTGCGACTGCTGAGAGTGCAAGCAGCTAGGGACACTGGGCCTAGCGGCCAAAAAACGGACCGGCCCACCGGGAATTCTCCAGGTCCTCCTGATTAGCCAATCCGGGCCTGATGTCACTGCAGCAACATGCAGCACAACACTCTGAGTGACACAGGACACTACACATGCCACCACCGAGTGACACATGACAGTGAAAACTGGACATGCCTCCGGAAGTGTCACTACACTCAGTGGCATGTGCCAGTGGTATCTGTACATCAGATGTTGTGTCACTTCATGTTAAAACTGCTTCTACGATTGTTTTGGCAATACGATTGTTTCTACGATTTATTTTGAGGAACTTAAATAGAAGGTTAATATAGATAGTTAGTTGTACGCCTCGCTTACACATTGCTTAATACAGACAGGGTGTACAGCAATACGCAAATATCTTTACATATGAAAAAGAATTAAAATATTAAGGGTATATATATATATATATATATATATATATATATATATATATATATATATATATATATATATATGATATAAGGATATATAGCCTATAGGATAAATATATAAAGGATTAAATATTACAAAACATTATTTTCTAGCCTACATAAATATAAAAAACAAACTTTCATGCCTTCTTCATCTCGTGGAACTTTTTCAATTTATTCATAACAATTTGCTTTTGTATAATAGTATCATTATTATCAGTATTATGTATTATACTGTATGCATATTTATATTTGTTTAAAAAAAAAAAAAAAAGCTTAGATTTGCCCACCTGTCAGGTTTTGACCATATGGGGCACAGCATGTGTATTTGGATATAACTCAGTTTTTTGACCACACTTCGTTATTATTGTTTATTTATTCGTAAATTAGAACTGAATTGATAAATAGTTTTAAAAACAAATTTTTGCGCTAAACAAACTAAATTAATTATTTATAGGCTAATTAATGTCTGTGTGTACAAGGTTTCCCTATCGACGAGAGCGAAAGTGAAAGTAGATAATAATGAGGCCTTATCTCTCATTCTCGCGCTGCAGATGCTCTGTTTAACTGTTTTCTCTCTAGTGAAATGCTCAGTTTTTCCACTTACTAAGTCCACCATGTAAATAGCCAACGCGTTAGGGGTGCAACGCAACTGACTCTTAAAGGGAATGGGAGATGAGACTCTGATTGGTTTATTCTCAAAGCACACCAATAACTCATTAAGAAAATAAGCTCAACCCTTTTAGACCATGCGCCATGACGCAAAGCGGATGTTTCCGTCCTTAAATTAGCAAAAGTGGATTTTGACATGCCCTAATTGCAAAAATAATCAAAATAAGAGTCCTAGGTGTTAAAGAACCGTAAATATGCATACAAAACTCAAAATACAACACAAAAAATAACCAATATAAACAACAGAACAGTGATTTTTATCACTGACTGCCTAAATGTTTTTGTTTGGAGTGTATACAGGTTTGGTGCTGAGGAACGAAAACCGGTAAGTGTATGTATTTTATGTATGAGTATATTGTGATGTGTGTCTGTCAGTCACAGATGTACATTTTCATTTTGTATATTTATTTTTAAATGCAGGGTTTTTTAAAGCATCACACAAGCTGTTCTCAACCAATCAGAGAGCAGCTGCTCAACAACTCTCAGCAAGAACTTGACCGTATTTTTAGCACATCTTGTATTACTTTCTGCCTGTTTAAGCAAGAAGTAGTGAGGTTGCCATGTCCTCTATGAGTCTAACCCCTCTTTGTCTCCATAACGGTCAACTGATGTAATAACCACACAGTGAAAAGGTCACGGCTGACGGTGCAGATTCTATAGTGAGGTCTCTTTTTTTTTTGCAAAAGAGCGAGCGTTAGTTCACACTGATGTGTGCATGTTGACATTATCTGAGAGGGAGCTTTAGGACTCACCGAACCGCTCGAATCAGGGTCTTCACTGCGGGAATCACATCCTCCATGGCCACGTCACAGTAAGATTTGTCCTCAGTGTGCTCTTCTCCGACTCCCTCCACTGGCAGAGAACAAGACATAATAATCACAAACATCCACTGCTGTTCAGAAGACTGAGGCTGGTGTATGTTTTCATAAAGAAGAATTGATGCTTTTTTTAAACAAGGATGGATTAAACTGATCCAAAATGACAGTAAAGACCTTTGTAATGATGCAAAAGCTTTCTATTTTAAATCTGTTTTTTTTTATTATGAAGAAAAAATCCTCAAGATGGAAAATGTAGTAAAGTTTTTGGGAAAATATTAACCCTCATAATGCATTAAAAAAATCTGTGGCTCCAAGTTTTGTTATAATAATTATAAAAGTATAATATTTATATTATATAAATATATATTAAGTAACTAATTACCAGGGAAAGTAACTATTGCATTACTTAAAAAAAATCTAATAAATTGTACACTAATCTACACTATTTTAATGTTGTTGTCGGACAATGTAAGAAACAATAGCAGCATGTCCTCAACTAATATTTATATAGGTGGGCATAGATTCATTTTTTAATCTAGATTAATCTCACTAAAATCTTGAAAAAAATCTAAATTAAAATGGCTCATTTGAATTCTGCCAAAGGCATTCAGAATATGTGTGCTACCCAAACAATTACAGAAAGTAAGTCTTTGAATACAGGTTTCTCAAGCCAGGTGGCGCATTAGACCAGGGGCACATCTCCTGTTTCCAAAATGCATCACAAACTGCTTGAGAAACTGTTCTACTTTGATAATTGGTGATGAAAATAAATGATGTTCAATAAGATGTACTTGTGTTTAATAACTGTTTATTCAGTTAAACATCAATTTTGAACTGTGGGCCTACATAAGCTAACTAAAAGCCAACTAAAATGGAATTAAGATGTGGAGTATGCAGATATTAGTGGCACTATTGAAATAAACTCTATCAAGCCTCTTCAACTGCTCCAGAATGCAGCAGCACGAGTTGTCTTCAATGAACCTAAACGAGCACATGTCACTCCGCTGCTAGTCCGTTTGCACTGGCTGCCAGTTGCTGCTCGCATCAAATTCAAAACTCTGATGTTTGCCTACAAAGTGACTTCTGGCCTAGCACCTTCTTATCTGCACTCACTTCTGCAGATCTATGTGCCCTCCAGAAACTTGCGTTCTGTGAATGAACGTCGCCTCGTGGTTCCATCCCAAAGAGGAAAAAAATCACTTTCGCGAACGCTCACGCTCAATCTGCCCAGTTGGTGGAATGAACTCCCTAACTGCATCAGAACAGCAGAGTCACTCGCTATTTTCAAGAAACGACTAAAAACTCAACTATTTAGTCTCCACTTCACTTCCTAATCTGCAATTGCCTATTTGAATATCACACTAACTGTACAAAAAAAAAAAAAAAAAAAAAAAAAAAAAAAAAAAATTACTAACACTTCCCTTCTTAGACTTTACAGACCTGAAACTTGCCTATAGCACTTATTCATTGTTGCTGTTATAGTTGTGTAAATTGCTTCCTTGTCCTCATTTGTAAGTCGCTTTGGATAAAAGCGTCTGCTAAATGACTAAATGTAAATGTAAATGTAAATAAACACTGCAATCAAACTATTACCGTCATGTAGGACTTTTCACATATTTTCCAACAAGACCCACACAGTAAAGCACCACACACACACACACACACACACACATACACTAGATTATAATAACTATGCAAATAACTAGATTACAGATGTCTATGTAAGCGTAGTCAGTAGTGTCTTCGAAGTAAGTGAAAGATCCCGAAGGGCATCCTGCTGATTTAATTCAGAAGGGCACTCACCGGTCAGGTATGCAGTAGATCCCTGATAAAATATCAAGGTGAAAGTCATCATAGCTTGCGTAGAATAGACCCAGCTCCCAACCCAACTTTGAGTCTAGATCAATGGCGATAATGGCACACCACTAATATTTAGATACTTTGTTTAATTCTGTCTGATTAATAAGTGTTTGCGGTGGAGAAAAATGAAGTTATATTTATTTTGACATCATGGCTTCGTCTCCTCCTTTGGTAGCAGAGCTATTGTTAGCTCATGTTGCGTAGCCACAAATTTTGTGGCGGCATGTGACGATGTGATGCGCTTCATTAGAATAAAATTGCTTGTCATTGATGCAGAGACACTCTTATTTCCAGGCCATAAGTTGCACAATACATAAACATTCTCGCCTTTCACCTCAATGAGGGAAAAGTTAATTCATTCATTTATTTTCCTTCCGACATAGTCCCTTCATTAATCCAAGTAGTGTTTATATTTTCATTTTACAAACACTACCTTTCAACTTGTTGGATTTGCCATTGTTCTGATTCCTGGTCGTTTCCACGAGCCACTGACTGTGCACGTGCTTGTGGGTAAACACCCGCTATATTCTGCCTCTGATTGGCGAAGGATGGAAGTGCAATCTAAGCCAATCATCACCTTCTCAGTTACAAAACCTTCACAGACACACCAATCATCATCACTGGTTGGTTAAGTTTCTCACCTCAGCCCTGAACACACACACACACACACACACACACACACACACACACACACACACACACACACACACACACACACACACACACAGAGAGACACACACCTACACCTACAGAAAGAGATGTCTAAGAGAGACGCTGCTCGCATGAAAACCACTTCAGTGTTCTTAATTACAGTAATGCGTATTTTATTGTCAGTAATGGCGTTGTAATGGGGGAAACAGTAATTAATTAGATTCATATTACTGAAAAAGGTATCATCATTAGTAACGCTGTTTATATATAGCGCCGATCATTCGATATCGATATTCCCATCACTAGATATCACACAGAAAACTGTTATTCTCACTACAACAAAATTTGAGGAAAAAAAAACTCAATGAGACTTAATAAGCATACAAAGCATTAAAAATATAACAAACAGGTAGATGATGTGCTGTAATTGTGAACAGATGCACTCACTGTCTGCAGCGGGTCGTGGTTTGAGGCGCAGAGATGTGCGAAAACGTGTCCGGTCATTGAAGCTCCAGCTTTTCTGCACTTTCCCAGGGCTGGTGGCTTCTGGGACGTTCTCAGTGCTGGGTGAACACCGCACGTTACCTGGAGGTAAAGGAGAAGCCTTGCTCCGGATGGCCTGAGAGGAGCGAGAATTATTCATCCTAATGCGGTCACGAAAGCCCATCTTCCCACTGCAGAGAGAGTTACAGCAATGATTTGGTGACAAACGTGCAAATAAATAATTCTTCTCATCACTGCTGTTCATTTCAGTTGTTCTATAATGCAATATAGTTTTTTAGAGACTGTTTGCTTATATGTAGAGGACACACTGGCTGAGACAAACAGACAAAAAGGTAAAGAAACAAGCACTTGTCAACAGGAGGTAAGGTTAATAGACTGACAGCACAAAGAGGGAAAAATGAAAATCAAGGATATACAGTATGCAACCCGGGCTCATTATTGATATGTACCCCTGAGTACACTTCTGGAGAGTGCCAAATTTGTCCCTGGAGGTAAGTTTTTTTTGCAGTTTTTGCTTTCGTGAATCCATCAGAGGTTGCTTTTTCACATCTCTAATAGTGCCATTCGCACCTGCTCTTCTTGCGCAAATCTACCAGAGGCTGCTGTCTGACTGATTGACCGACACTTCGTCCCTTCCCAACCGATAGGGTTTTCAAAAGCAATTCAGAAAAAGAAAAGCTACCTGACTTTTACCATGTTTTCAAATCTTACCACATTCTCACCCTGTTATTTAATTGTTTATTTTATTTTTTCGGCTTTTGTTTCACCTGCTTTCTGTCTTCCCTAGACTCAAACCTCGTTGTCGCAGTCAACTCTGCTCTGCGTCTTAAATCTGCTGCCGTATGCTGCGAGCTACTGGGCAATCTGGTAACAGCGGAAAAGTCATACACATGGACGTTAGTGGTCTGCTAGTAGTGCGAAATAAAAAACAAAAGTCGTTGGCAGCATCGTAGTGTTCGTTTGAAAGATGAAATATAGCCATACGCATCTCTGGCTACATAAATAGTGCTCTCAAGAAATGTATACGGGGTACATTTCACAACGAGCCTGTGTTGGATATATGCTGTTCTATGTCATATTATGTCATAGAATTAGAGAAAGATGTCTTAATATTTAAGACAATATCACAAAAATATTTTATAAAATACTGTAGAGAATTCCAAATGAAACACTGCAGAAAAAAACTTTAAAAAAAAATTAATTATAGAGTACCATTATTATTTTCCATTCACTTTTCCTGTCTTTGAAAGTGACTTTTAAAATACGTTTTCCAATAGAGATGTCTGATAATATTGCTTATGAAAAATTAGCATATGCATTTAGATGTAAAGCAAAAGATTTTTTTTCTTATTTGTTCCTCTATCAGGCAATATGTTAACAGTTAAACAAGCTGGAATGTTATGAAAAGGTGACTTTTAAATTAGGTGTAATTTAAAATCCAATGTAATGTGTTATTTTAATATGTAAAACCATTGGTGAATTAAAGCTTATTTAGTTATTCTTTTTTCAATTTTGTTTTTTCACCTATTTTAACTGATTTTTCAGTTTAATAATAAATGTTGGCATGTGAACATTAAATCTGATATAATTTAATATTCTTTACTGAGTTTTTGTAACAAAATTTCCTAAGGAGAAAATGAATGGAGTTTATATTTCTGAGTAAACTGTTGTGCTCTATTGTCCTAAAATCTTTAAAACAAGAAAAATTAAAGTTAATTATATGTTGAAGTTATTTTTCATGTTTTATTCTTAATTCATACGTAATTTCAAGACAGAAAACAGATTTTCATAATTTTTAATTAAAAGATCTAGTATGAGCACATATAATCAGTTGAATTAATATTTAAATAGAGCATTAGCAGATATCAGGCTCAATGACTTAAAAGACATAGTTCACCCAAAATTGAAAAGTTCCTGTTATTTACTCACCCACAGGTCTTCTAAGATGTAGGTGACTTTTTTTTTCTTCAGTAGAACATTAAAGAAGATTTTGAGTTCAATTTGTAGTCCTTGTTGATTCATATAATAGCAGTGAATGGTGACTTTCTTATATTAATAATAAACACCTACTGTAACAATGAGTCAAAATCAATAGCAATGCCTCCTGATGAAACATTGAGGTCTTGTGAAGTGAAACAATCAGTCTGTTTAAAAAATTTAACATTATTTACAATGTAATTAGCTTTAATCCTGGTCAAACAGATCTCGGCCCATGTGTGACTGTAGTCCGACTGTAGTCCGATCACTTTTGATGATGAAAAGTCTGCTTGAACTCCAATGGCTGATAGATATTGGTGATTTTGTCACCAGCTCTCACACATATGTCATCAAAGCAACTGGACTATGTTTTAAAAATGCAGGGTTCCACACAATTTATTACAAATCTTTACAAATCCTTTAAGTTTATTCAAAAAATGCAAGTGAACATAGAACAATTAAGTTGTACCAAAATAATCTCAAGAATTGTGTTGTTTCAGCTCTTTTTTTTTTCTAGTTTGAACAAGATGCAAAATTATTTTTAAGTGTACAATCAGACTACACATGCGCCGAGATCTGTTTGACCAGGATATGGATAAAGGCTAAGGATATTCTAAATAATCAACAAAAATCAGTCCAGGCCACTCGGAAAATGTTGAAAAAATATTAAAAAGCCTTTATTGACATGGTCAGTGAAACTGTTACCCTGATAAAGGCAAATGTTTGCCTAAATGCCTAGGTGCAGTTTTAAGAAATAGCCATGTCAATAAAGACCTTTTAATTTATTTACCACATTTTCTGAGACTGATTTTTGCTGTTTATTCTCATGAATCCCTTACCCAAAGATCACCGACACATTATTTATAGGGGTGGTCCACTACAATTTCATATTTCAAACTTTAGTTGATGTGTAATGTAGCTGTGTGAACATAAACAACATCTCTGAATGTAAGACGCTCAAAGTTCAATGCAAAGGGAGACGTTGGCTTTTACAGAATTGTCTCAGCAAATCCTACAGCAAATGAACTTTGGGGACTACAAAAAATTGTATGTAAGGTTATAGCAGAGAAAGCTAAAATGCAGTCTAAACGCTGCTATTTTCACAGAGCGTGTTCTGTTGATGTATTTGGGCTTCCAAAGGACACGACACAAAGAGAGAAGTGCTTACAGTTTAATTTAAGTTATGTTCTAGAAAATTATAAAAAATATATAGCTCTAGCATTTGACAAAGGACATCTTCCAGAATCTCTGCCAGTTCAGTGCTGGATTTTGGTTAAAACTCAAAGCTGTGGATTGTGAGCCACAACCTGTATTTTTATTTTTTAAAATTGATCACAGGACGTAAACTATGATGTAAACAATGGGAAATGCTGTTTGGCCCTGCTAGCAATTTAGATACAAATTCATATTTCCCAGTCAAACTGCTGTAAACACCCACAATCTTCAGCAGCGCTGCAGTGTCTCTATGCTGCTGCTCTCAGAGTCTCTCCATGCGGACGCGTTCACTGTATTCTACATCTCAAATTACAAACTCACAAAAGATATGAGAACGTTTCATATTACTTACACATGCTTATTCCGAATATATCGTTTTTATTTTAGAGAGCAGGCGTAAGGTTTGGCTGTATGCTCTTATTTTTTCTGTCAGATTCAGGCTGCTGTCGCTGCTAACAGCTGCTCTGACTTGACTGTTTACGCAGCACAAAAGCGCATGCTTGTAGGGGCTTGACATGGAGCCAATCCGTGAACCACAAAACATTATGTTAGCTGAGCAATCAGAGCCTCTTGAGGGCTGACCTTTCAGAGGAACTAGGAAAAATCGTTTAAATGTTAGCTGAGTAGCTGTATATAATCAAAGTCGATATATGAAAAAAGTAACATGATTTTCTACAAATGAAGCATGAACACAAATTTCTTTGCATCTTTTAAACACAAGCAAGCCTTAAAGACACTGTGGAGCACACCTTTTTGAAATAATGTTTAACTTCTTACAAAGAGCCATCGTTTCACAAGAGCTCAGTGTGTCATCGGGAGCCATGGCTGTTGATTTGGACTATGTAATTACTTTTAATCTTAAAAACCTCACCATTCACTGCCCTAAGAATCACCAACCAAAGATTCACCTCAAGATCTTAATTAATCTGCTACTGAAGAGAAAAAAATCACCTATATCTTGCATGACCTGTGGATGAGTAAATTAACAGGAAATTTGCATTTATGAATGAACTATTTCTTTAAGCTGAATATGGTGTGAGGGTGTATTAACCTGTAGCATGCCATCAAAAAAGAGCAGCAACATACTCCACAGAGCGATGCACAAGCATGCTCATGTAGGTGTTTTTAAGAAAAAACATTGTAATGAAACTAAATCCATAACTTTCTTTAAAATGACGACATGCCGTTAAAATGATCTCTGCAGTGCTAATTGCAGTCCTAATCTCCAAAATATTGTTTCATGTCATGCACGTCGAGGTCACAAACCTCATGCTTATCATTTATTTATCGCAGAGCAACTCACAAATATGCACCAGATGACTTTTAGCATGCTGACACATGCCTAAAACACACTGAAATACGTAACGATGACTCTAAACATGAATCTCACATGCACGCCTTTCCTTACAATATACTTAACATCTCTGCCCCCCAAAATGTATTGATATTCCTGCATTCAAATGCTACATGCCATTCATGATTTAGCTTCTTGAGAACAACCGTCAAGTAAAACGGACATAAACCATGGAGAAAGGTGATTGATTATACAGACGAGCGCATGGTTTATGTTTGTCCCGTGAGCACATGCAGGCCTCATCTGTGTACATTCAGAAGAGATGCACATTTTTCTGTTCTCTGATCAGCCTCTCACAGATTAAAGAGCAGATCACTAAGCTGTTATTGAGCAAGTGCAGCCTTCACAGTTAATGAACAATATCCTTAACCCAGACATGATGACCATCAATAAAGGATGTGTTGGTACACATTTATTTATATACAGTTGAAGTCAGAATTATTAGCTCTCCTAAATTATTAGCCCCCTGTTTTTTTCCCCCAATTTCTGTTTAAAAGTTTTTCCAACACATTTCTAAACATAATAGTTTTAATAACTTATTTCTAGTTTGATCTTTGTCATGATGACAGCAAATAATATTTGACAAGATATTTTTCAAGATACTAGAATTCAGCTTA